TGCCCCCCACTGTGTGAGGCCTTTGTGGCTGTCACCTCGTCAGCCCTCCCAGGAGGACCAGCTCCCTCACTCTATGATGAGGGAGCGGAGGCTCTGGGAGAGGATGTCACTTCCCAGGCCACACAGCTCCTCGGGGCGGAGCTGAGATCGGAATCCTCTTGTACTGCACCCAGATCCTGGGCCGACCCCTGCTTCATGGCCTCTGGTGCGGAAAGCCAGGGTCCTGGTACAGCCAGACCCGAATACGGTGCCAGGACCCAGGGGACGTCCCATCCATGGCCAGATGTCCCAAGGAGGTAGGCTGTGACCTGCTGCGTGTGCAGAGAAGAACATCAGAAGGTCTAGGTAGGGTTCAGCTCTGCCAAATTCACACCCTAAAGGGATTTGGAGTCAGGGCTGTAGGGAGGCATTTGGGGTTAGATGAAGCCATGAGGGTGGAGCTTCCACAGGGACACTGGTGGCTTTGTAAGGAGAGGAAGAAGGACCTGAACTAGCTCGCTGGCTCTGTCTCACCAGGTGATGCCCTCCGCCACGTCGTGGTGCAGCAAGTGGGCCCTCACTGAACAAATGCTGGCGCCATGTTCTTGGGCTGCCAAGCCTCCAGAACCACGAGCCAAAGGAACTTCTATTCCTTCTAAATTTCCTGGTCTTGGGTATTTTATTATAGCAACAGAAAATGGACCAAGACAGGGTTTCCTTTTATCTCCTGAAAATACCAACTTTTGTGTCTGCTTTGTGGATACTTTGACAAGCTCCGCAGCACATCTGTAGAATTCATAGATCAATACATGCTCACATTTTGGAGTACATGCTCAAATTTATTTTATTGATATTGGAAGTGAGCAAAAAGACTAGAGTCTCCTGGTGGAGATCACGGCCAGGGTCCTCCCCAGGGCTCTGCAGGGGCCTAGGATTTGTTCCTTGGATTCTTCAAGGCACCATTCAACTCTGCTCCTCTCCACAGCCCTGTGCCTGTCTGTAAAATGTGCTTTTACTGGACCTGGGGGCCCCTCTGCACCGGAGGGAGATGGATGTGCAGTGGCCACTGTTGGCTCTCCCCAGGGCTCCAGGCAGCCGGGGGCGTTGCTGGGGGCACGGGGAGGGGGAGGGGGAGTGGACGGGGTGAGAGGGGCACAGGCTTTGAACCTAATGGAGTCTACAGGTTCTGGCTCTTCCTGCAGGCGGCCAGAGCCTCAGGAGCCTCCCCTGACTGAACCTGAGGCCCCATGGGTGGGATGGACACAGTCCCCTCCACGTCCTCCTCAGGAGGGACCCTCTGTCCCCATCAACAGCGTCATGCTCCGAGGATCAGCTCCCCGTCTGTGCAGGGTGGATGTGGGAAGTCACCGAGATCCTACTATCCCCCGAAACTGCCCAGCGACCACACGATCTGGAAATAAAACCCGCGTTTGCATACAGTAGGTGCTCATAAATGCCGGCTTTCTTCCGCTCTCTGCCATTCATCAGCTGTGCGTTACTTTCTCTCCGGTTTCCTCAGTTTCTTCAGTTTGAAAGACGCTGCTGCCCTAGACTTCAAGACGGAGCAGCAAATCAGAGAACAAGCCCAGAGCCACCGCGGTTCTCCCAGGGCACACCCCGCGGCAGTCCCTCGGGCTGTTGACTCTGCCTTTTGTAGGATGGGGTAGTGACAGTCCTTGCATCTCATTAAATGAGTTTCAGGGAAATGAAAATGGAACAGCAACATGAAATGCTCAGCCCAGAGCTGCGTCTACAGTTGGTGCTCAATAGAAGTCAGCTGGCGCCAGGCGCCGTGGCACACGCCTGTTATCCCAGTGTCTTGGAGGCTGAGGCAAGAGGATTGTGAGTTCAAATTCTGCCTCCACAACTTAGTGAAGCTCTAAGCTCCTTAGTGAGACCCTGGATCAAAATAAAGAATAAAAAAGGGCTGGGGGTGTGGCTCCGTGGCTAAGTCCCCTGGATTCATCCTGGGTACCAAAAAAAAAAAAAAAAAAGTCACAGAGAGTAGTAGAACCCCCTTCATTATGATGCAGATACTTCCAGGCTCCTGGGGTTCTCTCTGAATTGTCACACTAGTCCTGGGAAGGTGGCACTGTGGCCTCCTTTGTACAGGTGAAGAAATGGATGCTCAGAGAGGCTGAGCAACTTTTCCAAGGTCACACAGGGCATAGCGAAGGAGCCCACCCTGTGCTCGCTCTCCTATATTAACTACCTGGGCCCACTCTGCCTGGCCCTGGGATGGATTCAGGAGGCTGCTGCTGTGTTACCCACCTCCACCACACAAGCGTGGCATAACAGGAGACCATGAGGTGGATAAAACTGGGTTCTCCTATGGGTGTGGTTCTCTGGGATTCCTTGGATTGCAGGGATCTGCGCTCCTCTTGGCCACCACTGCTAGTGAGGCTGGCCTCATGGTGGCAGGGGCAGGAGCAACCAGAGGACAGGGAACCTCAACTTCTTGCCAAACTGTTTTGCTATAAAAATTCTCCAAAAGCCTTGTCAGGAGTGAACCCTGGGAGCCCGAGGGACAGGCTGGCTTCTTGGGGTCCCTCAGCTGAGCTTTGGTTTTCTGCTCTGAAGGAAAGAGGTGGCCAGGGACCCGAGCAGCCCTGAGCAGCTGGGTGGGCCCTTGGGGGTGCAGCGCTGTTCCTGGAGTAGGGAAGTGTCTTTCTGGCCGTGCTGAGCTTTGGGTGCCGGACTGGCTGGCCAAGAGCCACAGAGCACCTGTGGCCCAGCCCGGGCAGGGTCCCGCTCACGCATGGCACTGTGGGGCTCAGCTGGGCACCTCCCACATCAGCAGCTTGGGCTACCTGTGTGTGAGCAAAGGAATCACGAGCTCACACTTCTCTGAGCTCACTCTTCTCTGAGTTCACACTTCTGAGTTCACACTTCTCTGAACTCACACTTCTCTTGAGTTCACACTTCTCTGAGCTCACACTTCTCTGAGTTCACACTTCTCTGA